TATTTTGGAGAACTTACTGAGTAGACTCTAGTCCTTTGTACTGTTCTTTTTTCCTTGTGTGAGAGTGGCCATTTGATTCACTTCATATTTATGGTATGGAAAATAAGCAAGTATTTAGCTATATGAAATACAGTATTGGAATTTAAGCACAATATTAGGACTGTTTCCTATTGCAGCTTTCATTTCCTTTTTTCTTTTTAAAACACAGTGGTTCGTGGGGCTGGTGTGGCTCAGTGTGGAGCAGGTGCTTCGCATGCGTCAGGGCTTAACCCCCCACCACACCCCAAGAAAGCAGTCTAAACCACATCCAAGGACTGTGCTTGCCTCCAGACCAGTGCTGTGCAGTGTGTGTATACACAGACACAGCCTGGGCGCTTAGTGGCACGCTGGCAGTAAACTGCGTGAAGATCAGGGTAGGTAGAGTTATGAAATGTAAATAGGAAATTCTGGCCAATTGGGTTTTACAGGAAGTCAGAACAGACAGCTGCTCTGAGAACCACAAGCCAGGCTTTCAGTGTGCAGTGTCCAGCGTTCATGTGACTGTGTGACATAGCATACTGTCTTGGCCAGACGGAGGTAGGAAGTTAGGTCTCGAGGCTTTTGTAAAAATGTACACTAATAGTGATAAATAGTGCTTTAGTTCTCTGGGCGCATTCCGCATGTGAAGTCGCTGAGTCTTTACAAGACCCAACGAGGAGCAGGCAGTTGAGGCACAAGCTTGAGGATGCTGAAAGAGGGAGAAAATGTAACGTTTAGCAAGTCTTTGATGAACAAGTAGTACTTGGGACAAAAGCAGACTTCCTTATAACAGAGGTATTTGTTGGTGCTATTTTCTTTTTTTTTTTTTTTTTTTTTTTTGGCAGAACCGGGGATTGAACTCAGGCCCTTGCGCTTGCCAGGGAAGCACTTACTCCACTGAGCCATCTCCCTGGCCCCTTGTTTTGTTTTTAGAGACAGAGTCTATCTTTGTAGCCCAGGCTAACCTCACACTTGCAGTGATCCTCCTGCCTCAGCTTCCTGGCGTTAGAGACCTGAGCTACCATGCCCCGCTTCATTAGTGCTATTTTTGTTTTGAATTACATGTGAAAGG